TAATTTATCTTTCTATTCCTTCATCTTCACAGAACTTATCAAACTCATGTAAGTTATATTCTTTACCTCAATCACTTCTAAGAACTTTTATGTGTCTTCCACTTTGTTTCTCGACGGAAACTTTAAACTTCTTGAATATTCTAAGGACTTCTAATTTTTCTTTGATGAAGTAACCTAGGTCGTTCTAGAAAAGTTATCAACGAAAAGGATAAAATATCTGTTGTTGTTTAGTGACGGTGTCTTCATCGGTCCATAGATGTCTGTATGGATTAATTCCAAAAAACCTTTTGCTCTCCATGCTTTGTTGGTTGAAAATGGTAATTAATGTTGCTTCTCGAGAAGACATCCTTCACAGCTTCATTATTCTTTTTTAGGTATGGGAGACCTCTCATTATTTTCTTCTAATGTATTAGTTTCAAAGACTAAGTGTTAAAGTGTCCAAACCTTCTATGCCAAAGCCATGAATCATCAACTTGAACTTTCATGGCAATATCAGTAGTATATTTGAAGCTTATAGGAAAGTTTTTTTCTTTTCTCCATTTTTACTTCTCCTATCTCTCGTCTATTATTGTCATAGATTTAGATTTTGCATGTATCTCCTTTGAAGTGAAGAGCATAACCTTTCTCCATCATTTGTCCAATGCTCAAGAGATTCTTTTTAAGATTGGGAATGAGTAAGACATCTTTAATAAGTCTCGTACCTTTCTTAGTTTCCACTACAACGGTATCTCTTTCTTTTGACTCTACTAGTGTGTCATTTCCTAATCGTACTTTCACTTTGATAGAGTCATCAATGTCCCTGAAGATGTTTTCATCTTTAGCCATGTGATTACTGCATCCGCTATCCAAATACCAATTTCTGCTTGTTTCATCATTGGACTCTCGGGTAGCATAGAAAAGATGTTGTTGAAGGTCATGTTCTTCAACAAAATTTGCTTGATGCTTGTTTTTTATGCAACAATTTTTCTCCACATGTCCAAACTTATTGCAATGTTAGCATTGAGATTTTTCACGATGTCAATAATTTTTCTCCAAGTGACTTGACTTTTTGCATATGTCACAAGGAGGATATTTATCTTGACTAGATTTGAAGAAATTTCTAGAGTTTTCTTTATTTTTAGAAATCTCTTTAATTTTCTTTCCTTCAATTTTTTTTATTCTGAGACCGTAATTTGAACTTTGATTGAAAGACATTTTCGATAAAATCTTCATTATACCTTTTCAATCTTTGCTCATATGCTTCAAGAGAACCTATTAGTTCTGTTACCAATAAGGTAGATAGATCATTGGTTTGTTCAACTGCTGTCACAATTGTATAATATTTGTGGAGAATAGAAATTAAAATGTTTTCAATAATTTTCTTGTCCAGAATATTTTTCTCACATACTCTCATTTGACTAATTATCTATTTGATTCTAGTATAATAGTCTTTAATGGTCTCAAATTTCTTCATACTTAATAATTCAAACTCACGCCTTAGAGTTTGAAGTTTAATGGTGTGTACCTTTATACTTCCTTGAAACTCCTCCTGTAGTGTGCTTCATGCTTCTTTGGCACTTGTGACAACCATTATTCTTGAAAAAATTGCATCAATCACAACTTGTTGTAGAAAGTATAATGCTCTTGAATCTTTTTGTTTGTTCTCTTTCAACTCTTTCTTCTAAGTTGTTGTTAATGTAAAAACGTTTGTTGGAGTAATGAAACCATCTTCAACAATCTCCCACAAATCTTGAAAATAAAAAAATATCTTCATTTTAATGCTTCAAAAGTCATAATTTTCTCCCATGAAGATAAGTAGAAGAATAAATGAAGAATAATTGACATTAGTTATTGATTGCAATTGGTATGAAATATAGTAGGACTTTTCAAAGGTGGTTGAATTGTATCTATATCCAATAGATAATCAAACATAACTCTCGTACCACTGTTAGTATTTTAGGAAGGATAAGAAAGATGATTTGATGTTTAGTAGTGAGTTTGTGTAGCAAATAGTTTTTAGAAAGAGGTGGATAAATAGGAGGAAGTTTGTATGAGAGAAGATAGTAATTGATCTTGGAAGTGTTACAAGATATGTAGGAGTTTGTATTAGTTTTTTATACACATTACATAAGTGGCATTGCCTATTTATAGGCTTGATCCACCACCTCCTAAATATTTTAGATAATTCTATATTTTCTTAACTCTATAATTATCTATCTTCTACTTTCAAACATTTCTAGAATCTTTTATGATTCTAGATATTACTCATATGAAGTTCTTAATTCTAGTAGCATCTAGGATTTTATTTTTTAGATCTTTCTAGAATTTGTATCATCTTTCAACATATATGATATATATATAATAAGTCAATATTTGTTTTTTAGTGATAAAAGTATTTTTCTATTAACATTGTTACAGTAATTTATCAAAGTCAATATTTTTTTCTTAGTTCATATTATCAAGAGTTTATATTATATTATATTATATTATATATATATAAAGGATTTGATACTAATACAATATTTTAGAAATGTAAATTTATTAGAAATGTTTGATTTCTCAAAAGAATTATTTACAGTGATTTAATAGATAGACTAGAAGTACTAATCACGTTCATTTTGGAATCTTTATATTTTGAAGCAATCTTTGAGATATATGATATTCAACCTTGGTCTTCGTATACCAAACATGTGGATACATATTAAAAAACATCTCTCTTCGTATAAGATCACTAAAAAAAAAGACTCTTTCTTGACATATCTTAGTTATATTAGGATGTAAGAGTCTACTCTTGTGACATTTATCAAATACCATCTCACTTGAGGGAGGGAATGCATACCCTATTTCTAAACCTATTTCTATGTACTCCATTTGATTTCACATTGAACTCTTTAGTTTTATTAATAATCCCCAACTACCTTATAGTAATATGCAATATTGCATTTGATTGTTGTCATTACTTGGTCATTCCCAACAAAATCATTAGTTATAATTTCAACCCCCAAATTTATTTTCTTAAATTGTTCCATTATCATCAACTATTTAATTATATTAGCTAATACTTGTACTATAGTGGGAGGACAGGTATTGGTAGGGTCACCATCCAAAAAAAAAAATAACTTTTAAAATTTTATTCAGAAAATATATTATAGTCCCCTAAAAAATTATTTGTTTGAATTGGTCCCTAAAACTAATTTTTTGGTTTTGTCTTGACTACACATCTTAAATAGGCACCATAAAGATGGTGTCTTCACATCTTCAACATAAAGACTATTGTTGCTAGGTCATGGATCAAGCAATTCTTCTCATGTGTCTTTATTTGTCTTAATACATCAAAACATAACTCAAATATTAATGTGAGGCATTATAATAAATCTTAGAAGATTTAATTATATTAGGAATCACTAACATATGTGAACTCGTTAATCTATGTTTCAACTCCAAGAAAAATTGCTCACATAAGTAGTATGAGCAAAAGGTTTATCGTTGTAGATCAACTATAGCAATGGAGTTGCTATCTTGAAAAATTCGATTATAAATCTCCTATAATAATTAGCTAAACCGTTTACGATATTTTGAACTTTTGTGACTGTCTTGAGACATTTGCACTGCAAAACTACTTTCGCTCTGATGAGATTTACTAAATTTCCTTCTATTAAGATCATATGTCTCAAATAATTCCATCCAAAATTCACATTTATGATATTTAACATATAATCATTTCTCTCTCATACTACCTAATACTGTTTATAGATGTTTTTAAAGTTATTTTATAATCTAAGAGTAGTAAATATATGATGAATGAGTACCCACCACAAACTTATTTAAGAGAGAGGACTCAATATCCCATTCATGTAGTCAAATGTATACTGGGACATTCATCACTCCAAAATGACATGATCATATATTTATAATTATCATATCTAAATATCTAAGTGTAGTCTTCTACATATTTTCATGAGTTTGATAATAACTCATACTTGGTCAATCTTGGAGAAAATTATCATCTCATATAAATGATCCAACAAATCATTTATTGTTGAAAGAAGAAATTTATCATTGATAGATAGTAAATTTGTTGAAGTACCTATAATTAATCCATAACTTGGATCCTACGAAGAGATACTCGGTGTTATGAATTTCTTTTCTAACTTACCTTTAACTAGTTTCTTAACTCCACTAAAGTGATCATATAAGGAGCTATAAAAATTAGTTTCACCATTTGGATTAAATCAATCCAAAATTCTTCCTCCCTCCTTGGTGGCACAACTGACAGCTAATCTGGTAAGACATTAAGATATTCTTGCACTATTGGAATGTCACTTTAGTGCATCTTGAGGATTATAAAACATTGGATTCCACTCTTAAGCTCACTACTAATTTGCTAAGTTAAAATTATCTCCTCTCCCAGTGAATTTGCCAAGATGAGTTTCTTTTGACCACAATATATGAAAATACTATTGGCAAACACTGCAGAACTATACACTTTATATTAAGTTAAACATCAGAGTGCATTTTGATAAGTGCACCTAATATTCCACTATCATTCATGCTCGTTCCATTCTCAAGATAATCGTTCTAATCAGCAGCTTAATTGCCAACCTCATTCCACAATCATACAAGTTCTTCCAATTCCGTAAGAACACAATTCAATTTTTAATGAAGAGAGTACACAGTTGAGTTGAACTCTTCCAAACCATTTTTTCCAGGTTCAATTTTCTCTTAAACTAACTATGAACAGCACTAATTTTTTTGCAGATTGTATGAAATGCAACTAGAACATATACTCGAACGCTATATATTATGAGGCATACAACATAATTCAATTCTGATGCATAACATAAAAAACTTAAGAAAATAGAGTTTTGGTTTCTTTTGTTGGATGGGAGGATCAGAACACCTAATTGACAAGTTCTAGTAGTAATTGGGTAACATTCATGTACAAAAACTACAATCCCATTTGTGGAATACCCAAGAGCTTTGTAACCATGGAAAATGACAAGCATGATAAGTTTCTTTGATCAGTGCCCTCCTGGATTCATATTCCATGACAAATATGAAGGATCTCCAAGTTGCCTACAAAGATGGAAAAATAGGTTAAGAGTTAAGAGTAATTCAAAATTGCCACTTCAAGTGGGTATGAGTGAATTTTAACTATCCAACAAGAGAGTCACAGTTTATTTAAAGCTTTGCAAAAAAAGTGATTGTGGATCCACTTGAGTAAGGTTCTCCATAGTACTTCTAGAAAAAGAAAAGAAAATAAGAACAATGTGAAATAAACTCACGAGAAAAGCATTAAAACAGATACTCTTTGAGGCTTCTGCTTTTTTTAAAGATCATAATTATAAAGGGCTTGGAACAAGCAGATTCTAAGCTACTTTATACAACCCAGAAGACATGGATTTCAGACAGTTGAGTAAACAGAGAAATACATACAGCCACCCTTTAAATTAGCAAGATACCCCATGAATTTCCCAGCTAAAAAGGGAACTTTCATTGTCTGAACCCAAAAGCAATATAGAGGATTTAAAGTATTTACCTTGGCTTGACAAAATATACAATGGTAAAAGACAAAGCCAAAAAGAAGCACAATCCTCCAACTGTGAGATAAGCAATCCCCAGGAAGTCATTCTTCCCACCAAGCCAGCTAGTAGTTGACAGTACAAGCTTTTTCTTGCCATTAAAACTGTATGTGTTGTAATTATTTTTCAGTATTACATTTATGCTATCACCTTCATTCAGATCCTCCTCTATCCTTCCATACAATTTCCTAAAAGTAGGCAAAGCAGCAGTTCGCATCCAGACAATAAGATCCTCCTGCTTACTCAACTGTTGCATAAAGCATTAAAATAACCTGAGCAATATATCCCAGATGGACAGTGCTTGGACTAACCACAAGATGAACATAAATATAGAGGGAAGTAATTGAAATTTGGATATGAAATTATGGAAGGTCTGTGGAACAGTGGAATAATTTGCCATGTGAAAATAATTACCGTAAATACATTATGAATGATAACAGAAATATGAACCACATCAGTAGCAGCAACAGAAAAAAAAAAAAAAAGATACATGCATAACATAAGGACATGCAAGGGTAAATAAAGGCTAAAATCTAATTACATGGCTGAACCTTGTAAAGAAAAGTAAATACACTTGATGATAGAAGTTTAATCAAATCAAAACAGAAGTTCACAAAAATACTCACTGGTATTGATTCATTGAGGCTTGCACCACCTTTAATTGCACTACTCTGGAAGTTTCTAGGGAAAACATCTTTTCCAAATTTGTGCTCTCTATCACTCTTCCAAGAGATACCCTCCTTGTTCACTTTCAAACTCTGGTTCACACGGGAAAAGCTGTATGTGTCATTGAATAAACTCCAAGCTATAAGACCACAAGGTACAATTGCCTTTCCATTGGCTGTATCTTCAGGCTTACACGTACTTGTGGAGTTCTCTTCACTACGATCCCTCAATTGTTCATCACTCCGGCTTTTAACATATCTAGCATAAACAAAATTGCCATGCTTATAAGAAAATATATTAATACTGAAAACAGTTGAAGAAAACAACCCGTCAAAGACATTAAAATGATAAAGTAAATAAGGGTGTTAAAATAGATTTAGTCAGATAGGTCGACTTGAGAAATAGGTCAGACTAAACTACAAAATTTGTGACCTAAATTGAATCAGACTTATTTTGGTCCGGCCCATTTAGATCGTGGCTTACATGGACTTAGGTCAATTTAACCTATAGGTTATGGGCCGACTCGTTTTATAGAATACTATAATTATTTTTAAATAAAAATAAAAGCAATATTATTTCATTAAAAAATATATATGTATTATAAATTAATTTGACAAGTGATTTGTTTATTTTAAGAGTACATATCATAGTGAGTCTCTAATTTTTAAGATCCTGTGTTAGATCAATAAATTACTAAAAAATAAATTATGATAATGAAAAGTAAGCTTTTAACTCTTATTTTGAAATTGAATGGATTAATTATCTTATAATTTATATATTAAATTATAATATCTTAAATAAAAACTAATTTCATTAATATTATTTAAAAAATTATTTTCTTTTTTTATTTAAATATTTTTTAATTAATTATTTTGGTATAGACACATTAATAAAAAAAAATTCAATCATGCCAAAATTAGTTTGTTAAACCGTTGGCATAACATAGGACCAGACTCTAAAAATTATGACCCGTTTTAAAATATAGGTCAGGCTGGGCTATTAAATTTTTTTCTTGACCCATAAGGTCAGGTCAGGGCTATTAAATTTTTTTGTTTGACCCATAAGGTCGACTGGGTTGAGCTATCCATTTTGACAGCCTTAGTAATATAAGTATAAGATGAATATAGGGAGAAAATGTTAGCTGTGTGGATGTCTCTATACATTACATGCCATACAAATAATAATCTGCTACCAAACAATTCCCTTTAGTTCTAGAAGTTAGGTAATTGAATCATACAATATATTTAATAGTTAAAACTTAAAGAATAAAAGATGTTGGCTAATGTAGATGCCAACTTGTAAAACAATTTATTTTCTGCCTCTTTTCCATTCTAACTTTATAGTGTACATATAAAATTCTGTGTATCACCAAAGGCAAAGAGAGACATGGCTCTAAATTACATGTTCTGGATGTACTTAAATTATCAAATTACCATTCTATTGCTATTTTACAAGTACCAAAATGACACCCCCATACAACTTTTTAACATGTGTTGTCATGCACTAAATAGCCAAAAACAAGTTGAGGCCAGTAATAAGCAATGCTGGATACAATAGTCTCAGAAAAATTAAAGGATTTAAAAATGTTTAGTTTTTAAAGTAATTAAGATATATGGCACTGGCTGGAGCAGAACCATCAACCGCATAAAATGCTAGAAATATATATATATATATATATATATATATATATATATATATATATTTATATATTAAAACACATGTCCAGATATTAAATATTAGATTCTCGGGTCCAAGTTGTGTATCATCTTTTGGTTTCAGATATTTTGTTACATTTATTGATGAATTTTGTCTATGTAATTGACTATAGTTAATGAAAGATGGATCTGATTTTTGTCTATTTTTATGTCTTTTTAAATAAAATCAAGACTTTTGGGAAAATAATTAAAACTCTTAGAAGTAATAATAGAGTACATCAATTCACATGTCCTCATACACATAATCCTCAATGCAAATGTTCCTATATATCATTGGGGTGATGTAGTTCTCACTGCCTACTTTCTAATAAATAGGATGCCCTCTTATGCTCTTGAAAATAAAATTCCTCACTCTTTTGTTGATGTGTTTTGTTCATGATTTTTCTCCAGGTCTTGATAAACTATCTACTAGAGCAGTTAAATGTACTTTCTTAGGCTACACTCATCTTAAAAAAGGATATAAATTTTATTTTCCAAAGACTAAATCGTACTACATGTTTGTTGATGTTACATTCTTTGAAGAGACACCTTTTTCTCATCTTTTGTACAAGATACTACTTCTATATGGCAGGTTCTAGCACTCCTTTTTTCCATCCTACACTAGCTCACCAAAAGGAAAATCAACCACATTCTCCCACAATTAGTGCAACAGTATCTTGGGAATTACTTGATTCATCTATTTCAGCATCAAACAATCCTACTATGGATCCTAATGATGACAATTTAGGTTTGGCCCATTGCACTTAGAGAAGATATTCATTCTACTCAAAAGCCTCATCCTATTTACAACTTTTTGAGCTATCATTGTTTATCCTCGTTGTATTTTTCCTTTATTTCCCTCACTTTATACTTCCAAAAATGTTCATGAAGTACTTGATTATATTAGATGACAACAAGCCATAATGATTTAGATGTGGACTCTTGAATGTAGTGGCACATTGAGTTGGTTCCTCTTGGAAAGAAACCAATTGGTTGTAGATCGGTATATGCCATTGAAATTGGCCTTAATGATAAAGTTGATCATCCCAAAGCCAAATTGGTGGCTAAGGGATAAACTCAGAGATATATGATATGGACTATGATGATACTTTCTGTCCTATGGCCAAAATCACAATTGTTGAAGTTTTCCTAGTTATGGTTGTCATTCCTTATTGGTCTCTCCATCAACTACACATTAAAATGTCTTTGTTTATGGTGATCTGGATGAGGGGATCTGTATGGAGAAACCTTTGGGTTTGTAGCTCAATCTCGTTATGGACTTCAACAGTCTCCTTGAACTTGGTTTAGAAAATTTAGTCATGTGTTGAAATCATTCAATGTTCTATTGCCTCTCTTTTCCTAGGATATGTGTGTATCTAGTTGTTTATCTTGATAGGAAATGATGTAGCTAAAATTTCCCAACTTAAAGCACTCATTTTGTCACTTTCAAACCAAAGATCATGGTTGTTTAAAATACTTTATTGGTATTAAGGTATCCCAATCAAAGAAAGGCATTATGATATCACAGAGAAAATATGCTCTACATATTTTGGAGGAAACAAGCATGACTAAGTGTAGGCCCATTGATAGTCCTATGGATCTTAATCAAAAGTTACTTTCTGATCATGGTGAGTTGTTCACATATCCTAAGAGAAATAGGAGATTGGACAGGAAACCCATTTACCTTACAATCACAATACTTGATCTTTCTTTTGTAGTTGGAGTTGTTATTCAATTTATCCAAAATCCTCACATTGATATCGAAATGTTGTCATAGGCATTCTGAAATACATCAAAAGGGCCCTTGGACAAGGATTATTGTATGAGGACAAGGGAAACAACCAAGTTGCTAATATTGGATATTGTGTATTTATTGGTGGAAAATGTTGTTGTTTAATCTAGTGAAGATGCTGAATATAGAGCTGTGACATTAATTTATTAGTGAGCTTGTGTGAATTAAACAACTCCTCTAACATTCTTTGAAACACAAATGTTGTTGTATTGTGAAAATCTGGTTGCCCTTCACATTACCTGCAATCTAGTGTTTCATGAGAAAAACTAAGCATATAGAAATTGACTTTCGCTTAGTTCTTCCATCCAAGGATATTTGTACTGAATTATCATATTCAATGGTCAACTTTCGGATATTTTAACCCAATCTTTGGAAAGAACCCATTTAATATATGTTCCAAACTTGGTACATACCATTTACATGCTTCAGCTTGAGGAGGAGGACTATTACCGTAATATTATCTCTGCTGCTCAGCTTTTGCAAAGCTGTTTTCTTTGTATCTAGAAGGGTCATAGTTGTACCCTATTCTCTCTTTTTTGTATACCCCCTTTTTATATATATAATACATACATATAAGTGAGATACTCTCACAAAGTTTTCCTCTCAAAATCTTAAGTACAGCCTCATATATACTTCTCAATAACTCAAAATTCAAGTTAGTATTTTCATCTTCACATGATTTTTTTAAGGTAAATTAGATATATTAAACTAAAAAATAAATAAATAAAAATTAAACATGTGCTATTATATTAATGTGCCTTGAGTTTTGAGCATTTTTTAGTTTTGAATTTTGAACATCGATGTAAATGTATGAAATATACACACACACACACACACACACATATATATATATATGCACCATGTCCATTATCCATTATTTTGGTGTAAGAATCTCTCTGCAAGCTGCTGTAGCTATACCATTATGCCATTTTTCAGGCTTGGCTACTCCACACTGCAATCCAGGATTTACCTTATATGAAATAGACTATAAACTAAAACTGGAAAAATAGTTTTAGATTAGGTTTATAAAAGTTCACAACTGTTAAATACTGTTATGAGAATAAGCTTGAGAGAAGAAACATTGTAAAGAAAAGACGGAGGATAAGCATCACATTCAGGGCAGTCCCCCTCTCGGATAAATATTTGCCAGAACTGGTGAAGAAAGAAGCGGGATATCTTAGTTTCCTATAAGGAACATTTTCCCTCACTTTGTAAATGTGGAATTGAAACAGATGAAAAGAATGTCTTAAGCATGAGAAGACAAGGGTTATCACATACCGGCGATGATTCTGGTAGAAGTTGTCAAGCTGATAGTAGACATGAATAGGTGACTTCATATGCTTGTTCACCTTTACAAAAGGAAATAGTTTAAGAAAAGAAAATATTGCCTCAATGCACCGTTACTCGATTATGGGAACAAAGTTAATAGAACGATGCAAGTAAATGAAATGGATAAACAAGTGCCTAGGAGATTTACATGTAGAGTTATGTTGCATGTTTTGTCGGCGGAACTCTGAATGTATGCTACCTTGTCAGTCACATTATTCGGAATGCATGTTGATTCATACCTAAAAACAATTTCAACAACCTGACAGATACAAGAAAATGAAAGTTGTGCTCAGCATTATACACAACTGTAAGAATAAATTCAACACATTTACAGCACTCAAAGTTACCTTCCTTGAAGCAATTAGCGAAGCAACTCCAATGGGAACAAATACAATGCTGACAAGCAAGAATGCCGAAATAACCTGCATGGAATAACTGACTTAAGTACAAGTAACACCACAACATAAAAAAGGACTTCAAGAAGCATTTAGGTACACATATAATCACGGGAAGTGAATAACAAAAAAATAGTGGTTAGTGTTACCGCTCGTGGCGTGAGAATTGGCTTACAAGCTGGAAGTTCTTGCTGGGTAAACTTTGAGTCTGAAAGGCATTATATTTCAAAGAGAGCTCTTATCAGTTCAGTTTTCTGTTGGTACCCAAACGAACAAAAAGAAACAAAAGCATTGTTGTGAAATCATCATACACTATCCAACTGCATAGAACTCTTCCACTAGGTCAACAAACAACCAATATGCACATCAGAACGCTCTTTTAACACAAGCACCAACTCCCAAAAATTCAAATTAAATAAAATAAATGGACATTAGCTTACATAAAGTATCATATCTCCATGAAATAGAACTCCATCAAAGGGTATATCAGTCTAGGAATTCTCAGGCACTAAATACTAACACAGGGGAACTATCAAACACGACACACCCTTCACAAGAAGCTCAATAAACCCAAAAAACCCTTTCCTCCTAACAAATACGAAATTTTCATCCCAAACCAAAAAATTCAACCAAAAAGAGAAAAGGGTCACTGAAAATGGAGATAAAAAGGCGAAAAAACACGAGAGATCAGAGAAATTCAGGGGACATTACACTTGGGTCGCTTGGTGTTTCTTCTCGCAGCAGCGGGATCAGTGGATCCAGCACCGGCTGCGCTCGAAGATGCCATTTTCTAAATCAGAATCGACCAGAGACCTTGCGATACCGAAACCTGAGAAAATTGGAATTGGGAAAGTGGGTATAGTGTTAGGTTGCTTTCCTTTTCTCTCTCTAACTTTGCCGTGAATTGAAGAAGAAGAGAGAGAGAGACATTAACAGAAGAAGAACGCGAAGGTGCCACAGCAGAGAGAGTCAAAACAACTAATGCTATTGCGCACGCTTTTCTGCTTATCCAACATCATACGCACAATCTTTGGTTGCATCTTGGCTTGGACTTAAGAGTGTGAATAACTTTTAACATTATTTGAGAACTTTTAATTACTTTTTTATTTATAATGAGTGTTTGCTTTTGTATAAGTTTTATGATTATGATTGAGTTTGTGGAATTGATTTATAGAGAGTTGAAAACTGTTAAGAAATGAAAATTGATGCTTTTAAGAACGATAAAGACTGAATTACAAAAATTATAGATGATTGTAGGTTTAATAATAATCTGACTGAAATTATTAAATAGTTAAGGAAATTATATATTAATTTTGTTAGAAATGACAAAATTAACTTTTATTTTATTCATCCATGTGTACTCTTTCTCAATTGATCACCATTCAATATTATTTTTTTAGCAACATCATTAAATACTTTGGTTGAGAAATGAAAGATTCTATAACTCTAGAATTTGTCATTGTCAGCATTGTTTGATTTATCTTTGAGGTTGATTTTCAAACGGCTTCCTAATTCTATAATGGATTGACAAATATTTTATGGTGTTTGATGGAAAAATTCATTTTTATATATATAATGAATTTTTTTTATTTCTTTGCATTTACAATTTTTTATATAGATTTTGAATAATATTTTATTTTATGATTTAATACTATTTAATTTAAAAAATAATTTGCATTTGACTATTGTTCAATTAAATTTTATGTAATCTCTTATTTTTCAAAAAGTTTCATTTCAACTTTTTCATATTTTAAAATAAATTTAAATGTGTTCTTCTTAACGGAAAACGAACGACGATAAACTAGATTAATGAAATAAATTTGATTTGAATTATTGTAAATCAGATAAAATATCATTAAATTATAATTATCAAAAACATTATTCGTTTAATAAAAAATAATTATTTTATCCATTAAACAATTTTTTATAAGTGATATTCATATATATATAATTTTTAAGAAAGCTAAAAATATATTTTTAAATTTATGTTTAAAAAACTCTAAATTAAATTTTATAAAAAAATTAACATATATTTTTTAATTTAAAAAAGAAAGATAAACTTAATAAATGTTTAATTATAAAAAATTGGTTGGACTAATTATGATATGTAAGGATTGATAGGCAAATCTATTGAATTTTTTATAAATAATAAATGGTGAATGGATTTAATTTAATTAACTTTTTAAATATTTTTGTAAATAGTGAGTTTTTCTTGTGGTAAATGATGGATAAATAATTTAATTTGTCATTTTATATGATATTTTTAATATGTCATGGTTATTCTCTTAACTTATTCATGAAAGCAATTTGTGAGAGTCTATTTCAACTTCAATTTTTTTTTTTTTTACCATTAGTTTGATAAATTAGGATTATTCTTCAAAATAAAATAAAAAATTGGTTGTCGTGATTTTAATTACGTTTAAGTGTAATTATGAGATAAATTTGTCCATAGATTTTCAAAATGTTTTCATGATCTACTTTATAGTATTTGGGATTTATGAAGTTTGTAAAAAATTGAAAGAGAGAAAATAAAATTTTTTGGACAACAATGAACCTTAGATGAAGATAAAAGATATTTATAAGAAAAAGGTGATATAATAAGGAAAGATAATAGTACCTAGAACAAAAAAATGTGCATAAAAGATAAAACAAATGAGACATAGAGAAAATTTGAGAAAGACTCAAATGCAAAAGAGAAAAGGTGGGAGTGTGAATTACACACTTCTCAACTATAGGAAGGAAAAATGATTTCACACACCTAAGCTATGTGTTTCTAAAGAAAATAATTACTGTAACATGCTTAAATGTGATCTTATGACCTAACAACTCAAATAAAGAATAACTCAACAAAAGTATTGTTGGACAAATTCCAAGCCCTTTGAATTATTTTAGTTACACTAAAAAAAATTCAACAACTTAAAATTATTCACATAAAACTTGATCATTTTCAAACCTTCTCAAATTCCTAGCTTATAAGACTTGTGTACCTACCTTAATATGTGTACCACAATTTTCAATATTGGAAAGAAAACTTATCATGCAGTTAATTAGTTATAGTTTGATGGTATAGTCTATCATATTTATCTCTTATTATCATAGTGTATAAATACCTCTCTCATAATCATTCAAGTGAATTAATAAAAAAATCATTCCATTATTTTTCTTTGTGATCACAAATTTTAATGTGATATCTAAAGCCTTCTAATAATGTCTTGAAATTTCCTTCAATCCTCAAACTTTTTAAACTTCAATCTCGATCAAACTTGATGATGAGAATTTTTTGGTTTGGTAACAACAAATTCTTGCCACAATTTGAGGTTTGATGCTTAACAAATATTTTCATGAAGAACACGTTTTAAGGAAATTTAAGTCCAAAGAACATGAAAAAACAAGTATGATCAACAAAGATTTTCTTAATTTTGAACAAGAAGATCAATTACTTGTCGCCTGGCTCCTTGCATTGATGTTTACACCAATCTTTACAAAGTTGGTTGGTTTGGAGCAATCATGGCAGATTTGGAAGAGATCAGAAGTCTATTATGCTTCTCAAACTCGTGCAAAGGTAAAAAAAATTGAAGGTACAATTACAAATGATTAAGAAAGACAAGTCAATTTCATAATATTTGCTTCGGTCAAGAAAATAGTAGATTCATTTATTGTAATTGGTTCTACAATTTTTTATGATGATCATATAGAAGCGATTTTAGATGGCTTGCTTGAAGATTATGATTCTTTTGTTACTTTTGTTACATCCCATTTAGATCCATACACTATTGATGATATTAAGGAACTGTTGAAAAAGATTTGGGTCATGTATATATATGATACATATTTAAATGTGTTAGGGCCATTATTTATTAAGTCAAATAATAAAGTGATCTGACTAAATTAAAAAGTTTGGCTAAAGGTATATGTCATGAAAATAAAATTGTGTAGAGACCACAGAGCAATTTCTAATTTGATGAGAGACCAAATTAGAAATACTAAAACTTAAGTAATTAACCTAATTCTGGTTATTTAAAGGGTCACGGTCCCCTTCTTGGAGCACACACACAGAACGTAAGTATCAGTTCCCGTTCCTTTCTTTCTATCCCCATCAAGAGAGAAAATCAAGAGGAAAATGCAGGTGCTCTTCAGGTGGAAGACCATAAGATCAATATAGTGCTCTACAAAGACATCATCATTATGGCTAATTCAGGTACGCTTTCGCATTCAGTTTACAACATGTTTATCCATATGAGATTACATTTATGTTTGATCGTTAGAATCAAAATTAGGATTATAATTATTATTAGTTTTCCAAAAATTGGTATCAGAGCCGCCCATACTTGATTCATGTCTGTCTTAGGAAATATTTAAAAATTTAGATTCTGTTTAATTTATAAAATCTCAATTACTGTGAACCCTAAAATTTAAATTTGGGGGTAACATCCCCAATCTACTTCTACTTGCTGATGGAACCGTGGAGGAAGCTATGTATTTTTCTTCTTCATTTTTTCCTTTTGTTTCAGTTTAAGTTTCAAGTTTTACTGAGAAAGAAATAGTGTTTCAAATTTCAATCTTTCTTGTATTGAGTTCTCTGTTCTCTTTGAATCTTTTATTTTTATTTTTATTTAATTTTCTGGGTTTTGTTTTCATTTTCTTTTCATGGTGGATATGAATGAGTTTGGAATTGGGGGTGGTGTTTGGGGAGTTTCCAACATATAGGATCTTAGGCAACTGGTGAATGTTTCCACAGGTGTGACTGTTATTATTTTATTGTCTTTATCCTTTGGGGATTTAAGGGAAGTTGATGTTAAATTCCCTGTTTAGGGTTTGAGTGATTACTGTTTAATCCCCTTTTAGGGTTTAGAACAGTGTGTTAAAGAGACTCAGAACTATCTTTGTTTTATCCCTAGTGTGATTCTAGGGAGGTGTTCATCCTTTGTGTATTGATGGAAAAGGAGGTGTTTTTCATCCTTTGATTTGTTCAAAGGAGGTGTTCATCCCTAGTGAGATTATAGGGAGGTGTTCATCCTTAGTGAGATTCTAATGAGGTGATTATCTTTTGAATTAGTTTACAAATATTAAATATTTGGTTTTGTTATATAAATAAAATATTCAATTTTTTGGTAGTTTAATATTTTTTTTTAGCAAATTAAGTCAAGAAGTCACCAAAGTAACCTCTCTTGAATTGGACAATTCATGAAAAATATTGAATGTTAGTATTTGTGTATATTCATACGAGTATTATTCGGCCCAAAGGAAGATTAATATTTGGCCGAATTGCATACACACTTGTAATGATAAACATGTGATAATTATAAGGATTTGCTTTGTCGATGATAAATCAATCCAAAGACTGGTTTGTTGTTAGACGTGTTTTATTGTCAATGTTTGATTATTACAACAAGATACCTCTAGCAGTTAATATTACTCGTCCAAAGACTTGATATTGATGGTGCATTGGGTGTCTTGAGATGGGTTAAACCATTATTTGAATATATATTTATAATTATTTATTTTTTATATAATGTGAGCATAATTAGTTTATTTCTCGTATTTTAAATTCAGCTATAATTGCTTCTGTATTTGCCAATTTAAATTTTGTTCCGATCCTCAAAAGTATGTTTCCTACTTTAGTCTGTTCTGAAGTCAATTTAGCGTCAGTACTTAGTAACACTTGGTGGTTAGACTCAGGTGCAACTACTAACATCAGTGTTTCTATGAAGGGTTGCATAAGCTACCGGAAACCAATTGATTCTAAAAAAAATGGATATATGTTGGAGATGGTAAATCGGTAGATGT